ATTTTTATATATAGTGACATTTGGCCATTCTTTAGCTGTCTTTTTTCTGGGGGGAATCCACAACATATTTGACCAGTCTTTAGCCTTTGAAATACACACCCAACTAGAGTGACAGATAAATACAATTGGGCTGTTTCAGTAACAGTCTAGCTGAACTGGCTGACCCATGGAAGATATCAGTGAAAACGGAGGGCGGATTGAGGGCCTTCCTCTGCCAAAGGGAGGGTGATTCTGTCATTGCATTTGTTACAAGACAGCAAGTGTCTTCCTGTATTTCAGCTGACAGCAGTAATAGGAACTATCAACAGACTTCTATTTTCCTGACTGAAATCAGAAGAGTCAGTGGAATAAGCGCAAGCTTATTCATCCAGCAAAGTGAATTAAGTATTTGTGAAGAAGGGCCAAAGTTTAAGAAAAGAACAAAAATCCCAGCTACAGTTAGTACACACCAGAGCATCTTATTTTTACTAAGGCAATAAAACCACTTGCCAACAGGTTGTAGCCTACAATGGCTAAGTGATCTTGCCAGCCATCAGCAGGCTGTCCAAGGACATGCAAAGAAAATATCTACATAATGAGATATTGTCCCTATGTAGATATTTCACTTACTTACTTTTCTCTAGGCCCTTTTTATGACCTTTGCAAACCATGTGATAGCCTTTGTTCCAGTTTTCAATGTTACTTGTTTCTCACCTCAGCTTTGAGTTGATTTAAGGCAATTCATTGCATGACTTTATTTTGTAACATGCTACTAAATGCAAAAAACCACGCTATAATAAAAGCAATTATTGACAAAGGGACTGAACAAGTCCACTGACCCATTAATAGAAGTAGCAGATACTGTTGATTAGTTAAAAAGCAATTCATCAACTGATTCAAAGTAGACAACTGCTGCTTTTGGAAGGCTGCAAAGTGAAGTCTAATGGGCTTCTTCGCTAACTGAAGCCAGTTCTGCCTGATCTCTTCTGTGCCACCAGGAATACCATATCTGAATTGTTGTAGTAGCTGCTGGCTTGCGTTAGGTCTATACTGAGCTGTGCCAGCAGCCTATAACCCTTATCTTTGAGAAAGGTCTTGTAACTCTGAGGCAAACCCCCCCTTTTTTTTTTTTCTTTTTCTTTTTTTTTTTTTTTTTAAACAAACTTCCTTGGTACCAAATTACTTCTGACTGGTCTCTAATGGCTAGAGAGCAAAGGGCCAGGTGTATCAATATATATCATCCTATTAATTACAGTAAAAAGACTTATTTCAAATTTATGAATGTACCTGACATAGCTGTATCATGTGCTACTTACCACTTACCAAGGATACACTTCCAAGAGTTTTATTATTACAGATTTTTCTCCATTGTCTAGTACTTATGAGAGCCATTAACAAAGCAGGAACCTTTTACCTTTTGAGAGTAAACATGTATATCCTAAAGCATCTGACACTGGTCTAGTTCAAATGGTAATGCTGTCCTTTATCTTAGAGTATGATTTATGTTATGACTAAAAGCTGGTACCCCTCAAGGTTTTCAGTTCAGCTTCATTCAAGAATATACTAGAATACCACAAATGTAGTGACAATGCACAGAGGTGTAAGCAAGTTAAATTTAATACAATGGAGAAGTCCTTTTTCGTCTGCAGTAATCCCTGGAAACTGGACTGGCTTCCACTTCAGTCACACTTCAGAGCTTTTGCAGAAGACAGGAAATCCGGAGTTCCCTCGCCACTGAATGTATTATGTTGTACTGCTTTTTGTAAAGTTGTATGTTTAAAAAGTATCAAGCCTTAACAAGTAAATCATTTTAAAATATGAAACAGTGACACTTTATTAGTTCAGGCTGCATGAGGAAGACAGAACATTCATATTTATATTCTATTTCAGGGCCTCCTGCAGAAGCAGAAGGAGT